TCCCTAAAAGCTGGTTTGTGCATATGTGCACATGCATTTATTGTCTCTAATTGATTTGGGTTTGCCATCATCCTTTTCTCTTAACAATCATTACTATAGTTTGTGTTCTTTTATTATTTTATTTTATCGTAGTTTTACCTCATTAAACTATATGTCAGATGAGTAATAGGGGAAAGATACTGAGGCAGTGGAACATTAAAGCTAACTTACCTAGAGGGTACTGAGTATCAGACAGTGCTGTCTGGATTTAGAGATCCTGACTCTGCAATAGCACATATGCACAAGGACATTTTTAAAAAATTATGGCTTCATCAAGGCACAAATTGTATAATTTTCAGTGGCTCTGTGCCTAACCTGCACTACACATCTTTGCTTCTTGGTAGTAAGCACACACTTTGATGCCTGTAGTTCAATCAACAGTACAGGTAAACAGGACCTTTTGGGCTGGTGATTTAAGCTCTGTTATCTGAAGGGTTAGCTGCAATTCACTGATTTCTTGTGAGGGAAAAACAAACAAACAAACTAGTTTCTATCAAGTTTTATGTTGCTCCAGGATTAAAATCTGGTTTTCTACTGATATAACCAGGGAAAATTGAGCTTGGAAGAAGGGAGGTGGGTTGGTTAGCTGGTCTAGTTTCATTGTGGGTTTATATTTTTTTTGAGGGGGTATGGGGGTGTTTGGAAGGGGTTCTGAATTTGGGGTTTTTTAGGGAGTGGTAGAAACACAGTGCTAGAAATACACTAAATCCACCTGACTCAAAGGAAAGCCTTCATCCTTGTACTCAGTATGAACTAGGACATTTCTGGAGCCACAGTGCTTTTGTTTGCTTGCCACAGGTGGGTTTTACTCTATGCTTCAAGCTAAAGCCCTTTGATAACAATTCTTTTTGCTTTTCCTTAGATTTAATTCTCAGTTTACTATCGGGTGTCACTAGCAAATATATGAAATACAGACAAACTATCTAAAGCCAAGTGCTATGGAAAAGGAGAGCATAGAATCTGGATTCCCCTGTTGTTGACAGAACTGAGCCTTCCAGGTCAGGGTAGATGGTGTTTCTGCCACCATCTGTTGTGCTGGGGGATGCCAATGCAATACATTTCATGACCAGTAACCTTCCACAGTTTGCTGTAAAAGAAAATAAAATGTGGATTGATTTTTTGGGTCATGAACAACTTCTACTCTTACCTGAATAGATGCTTTCAGAGGCCAATTTTAAGAACAAATTATATGGCAAGAGAATATGTAACACATGTAAGAAATTATCTAGGATTTTGGCTCTGAAATCTGTGTTTGGGAGCTGACCAGTTTTTCAAGGTCTGACCCAGCAATATGCAGGTATCTTTGATAATCTTTTATTTAAGGAGTGCCCAAAGCCCTGCTAATAACCTCAGCACTGTAAGAAACTTCTTCTGTGGATTGTCTTGTGCATTTAGCAGCTCTGGTGATTTTTTCACCATGTATTTAGAGCAGATTCCAGTTAGCATATGAGTAACATCATGTCAGCCCTAGTTCTTTCGTTCTGACATCTCTTTTGGCTCCTGGTGCGATTTGGCCCGATTTTCCAAAATGTTGATCCTGAGTCCAAATGTAGCTTTGTGGGTGGTACATATGTCAAGCCCTAGTTCCGTATTTTTGGACAACTGTAGCATTTCATAATTCTTTTGAAATGAAAAGAAGAAACAAAGTTAACTGAAAAAAAAATGCAGCTAGATCTAGCTGGGCACAGGCTTGCCTTTTCTACTCCCTCCTCCGCCCCCATTTTTCCATTTGGAAAAATAGAGGTTTACGTGGCAAAAACACTTTACAGGATTTGGGCTTGTTCAGAGCAGAAAGCAATAGCATATCCTTGTCTTTATAACCTATCTTGTCATACCCTGGTGGCCAGTAAGACGTCCTGGGGTATGGAGGAGGAAGATAGGGAGAGTGGAGGCTTGCAACCCTAAGTTTATTAAAACAGTGAGCTAAGCTGAGTTATGTAGATGGCTGGATAAGGCCATGTTGGCACTACAAAAGCCAAATAAACCCCTCAGGTTCTCCGTATGTCTGTGTTTGATGTACCTAGTGCCATATTATGTCTTTATATACAGAACACTCTAAACAGCACAGGAAGGTATAAATGCAGCTTTATTACATAAAATCAAGTTAAATAGTCCAGAAGGTTGTAGCCTGGGTGAAATAAACACATGTATGAAGTTTCACAGGACATAAATCAAAATGAACTTCATAGCTTCCTTCCTTCTCCCCAGCACAGTTGCTGAGCTGCTAGCTGAAAAGCTGTCCTTCATCCTTCTCTTGCAGCAAACCACGTGCTCATATATTATTAATTCTGTTCTACAAGTATTGCAGGACATAGGTACTTTTCTGGAGTGTCTCAGATGGCTTTTCAGTGTGTCTGTGCCAGCTTCACTGCTGTGGTTGCAATTCTGAGCAATGTTTTTCAAGTGCTGATTATTTTTCAGGCAACAGCAACAAAATAAGCATGTTTGAGATGAGTCTTGACACTCAAGGTCTGACTCCAAGAGATTATTTGCTGTGAGAAACCACAAAACAAATCACTGTAGCCCTCTGGGCCTCCCTCACTTAGTTGCATAGCTTCAAGAGGTCACAGGCTAGCCAGCTGCCCATCCTAATCTGCTGATGATACAAGTGCACAGCCTCTTCCAGCATCTTGCGCTGTTGTGCAGCCATTGAAGGCCCTAGGGACAATGGTCCTTACGGTGGTTCCAGAAAAGATGCTGGACTCGGAAGTGGGGGCTATTCTTTTGGAGGACAGCAGTCCAAATGATGCTTTTCTCACTGCCTGTCCCCTCTACCCCCCCGTGCCCCACCTGTTTTGTTTTTTTTTCTTTACTTCGTAAAGCAGTTAGTGTGAGTTGCTGTCCAGGAGAATGTAACAAGGGAGGGAAGAGAAGGATGAAACCTTAGTGGTCCCTCTTCAGCTAAAATACACCAACCCAGAGGGACATGCTTTCCTTCATACTGCAGAACTGTCCCTCCCCAGCCTTTCCCTGGGTGTTGTCTTTCCCTCCTGGCCCACCCATGCCCAAAACCCTTAGCTAGTTAGAGGCTGCTTAGCCCTCTGGGCAGATGTACTTTAGCTAAAGGTGCTCCCCAGCACCTTGGCTCAAGCATGAGTACTGCAAGCCACAGGACTCTGCAGCTTGAGAATGACAGCCATCTACTTTATTTTATTTTTTTTTACATTTTATTTCTCACTGGCAAAATTGTTCACCTTCTCACCTCATCAGTGTCAGCAGCTGGATGAGGAAAAGGTAGAGTACACAGGCATGTGGCAAACAGAACCAGAGCATGAGCATTTACTTCTCTTGTCTCTTGGCCATGGGAAAGCTACTGTGAAATATGAAATCTCTGACAACCTTGACTGTTGCAATCAAGGTCAAATGAGCACTAAATATCCTTCTAAGACTCTTCAACATGTGATGCTTGGGTTGGTTTAAGTGGTCCTGAAAGGTGAGAAGAGGGTTGAAGAGCTGTTTCACACTTGACTGTGTACACGCCCTGCTGTTGCTCACCATGTCATGTTAGCAGTGTGAGTCTAGTAATTGGTGAGGTTCTTGGTGAGTTTGGGAAGTTTTTACTGGTTGGTTGGTTGTTTTTTTTTTATGACACTGTATTACAGTATAGCTGTTGTCATAGTCAACAATCTCTTACCTAATTAGGATGTTACTCCTGTTTACCTCTTTTTCCTTGCAAGCAGTAGGAGCAAATTGGCATGTTAGATATTTCCCCATATTCGCTTTCCTTTTTGGTGAAATAGATAACTCTTTAGGGGAAATGTTTTCACAGAAAAAGAAATTTACAATTTGTCTCAAAAGCAGAGTCCCTAGGAAAAATAATGATTTGTTTTGTTTGTTTGTTTTTAAATCGCAGTGCTTGTTTCAGGGCAGTGGGTCACTAATTGAGTGCAAGCTTTATAAATGTTGTTTGTCCTCCCCCCACAGGGCATACAAAACCATTGAGGAAGATGACCTGAAGTTTCCCCTTATATATGGAGAAGGCAAGAAGGTGGGCACATTTGCTTTCCTTGGACCAAAGGAAGAAGGGATTCTCTGCTGTTTACCACTTGATTTAGCCTGTGGCAGTCCAATGTTTTCCACTCAGTATCTCTTTATTTTATCATTTTGACAGCTTGAAAGAGTATCTTGGTTCTGTCATAAATCAGTCTCATGTCTGGGGGGGAGGCAGGGGGAGCTGAAGTTACTAAAAAGCATTTTTATAGCAGACAGAGTAATTTGCTGTTCAGTTTGCTCTTGTTTTTCTTTCATGTAAATAGGCCACAATGAGGCCATCTCAAATAATTGACTTTGAATGTTTCTGTTCTCATTGTAAAATATAACTTGGCTGGTGAAGATAGCAAGATATCTCTTGGTAAAAAGGAAAAAAAAGTAGGAGGATATTTAATATCTTTTTAGAGTGCTCTGAGATGCAAATCCCTAATTTAGGAAGGGGAGGCATTAGGACAGGATTTGTGAAGTGTAACACCCCTTAACTGTATCTTCTTCAGCAAGTGTACGTGGACTCACTATTGAATTTTTCTGATGTGTGAATGCTGATAGTTTTTCTCGAAAAGGAGAAACAAACCATTCTGTTTGGCTGTAGTTTGATTCCAGCTACGTGATTAAGAACAGTGAGATCATTAGTGCTGATCCCAGCAAGCTTAGCTGGATGCAGCAACAGGATCAATATAAGGACGCAGTGGTGTCAGCCTGCCAATATTGGTATGCTGGCTGTGTTTCTAAATAGTGCTCCCCTGCTGCATTAGGTTCTTATCTCAGTGCAAAAATACACACTCTTCAAAATTAGTCCAAGTTTTGAAGGTTCAGACCTGCAGCTTATCTCTGAATTTGGCTAGGTTTATAATTTGCAAAATGTTTCATGCACATCTTTTTAATTTACTTTCTTATTGCCTTATGGAACCATGGGTTACTAAGGCAAAATAATTTAGAGTCAGTTGCTCGCTGTTATTGATGCTGTGAGCTCTCTTGTTCAGAAGTTCCTGTGGCTAAACTAGATTTTGGGGGAAGTGATACACAGACAGCAGAGAGCGAGGTTCCCTGCCAGGCTGTCTGCCTGGTCGATCTTTGAAGAAGTGTTAATGAAGAAGAGCCTCTTGGGAGACAGCTCATGTTGCAGAGGAAGGTTCCTGGGGAAGGAAGTGGTAGACCTGAGGTAACATCAGGCCTGCCCTTGACTAGCTGTGCCACTGTCACCTGTGTGTTCAGCAGTTTAAGGTGGTCTTTGGCACTTGTGCATGGTGGAGGGGAATGTATGGCAACATGTCAGTAGGAAGAGGCCACAGGTTTCTTAGTTGAGTAATTAGGCTCCTCATCCTTTTTACACAACCTGTTTACTAACAGTATTGTTTGCTGAAGGACTCCTCTCATAGACTGGCATGGGACAGTCAGATGAGTGGGTTAGGTTTCCCATCCCTTACAGAGGCTGACAGTCTAAGATGGGTGCCTGCAGACTGGGATATGAATGAATACCAAGCTTGGGATAATGAGGGAAATGGAGACGACATGAGTGTTAAAAGCTTTGAAGTTGATTAGCTGTGTTAAATCTAGCGTTTCTGGGAGATAAAAGGGAATTCATCCCCAACTGTAGCAGTTGCGGAGTAAGAATGTTCTTTTTCCCTTCTGGCACAATGCAAGTAACAAGATTTGCTCCCATTGCTTTTCTTTATTTCCAGGCTCGGGTTATGGCAACAATTGGAGTGACCCGAGGATTGGGAGACCATGACCTGAAAGTGCACGACTCTAATATATACATCAAACCCTTCCTTTCCTCATCTCCTGAGGTAAAACAGCCAAGGTTCAACTATCTGATTTAAAAGAAAGAAGAAAATATACTTAGTGTGCTTGTTTCTTCTTCCCAGATTGTCTGTTCTGACTGTGGTCCGATCCAGGTAACGTGCTGCCCTTCTCAAAGGTGCAGCATGTCAGTAACATCCACATAGTAGGAATGTTGTAAGTTACCCAGCTGGATGTCCTGACCCTGGTTGCTCCACATTCCTGGCAAGGCACTGATGCCTTCTCACTCCTTGGTCTATGGTTATCCTATGGCCTCATAATTCAGTATGACAGACACCCATCTGTCCCCATCTTCATGTGTTACAGCTCCTCTTGTAGTCTAGATCATGATACCTTCACAGAAACTGATGTAGAGTAGAAAGGAGCACTTCATGTCTTCTGGGGTAGTGTAGTATCCTACTTTACTCAGAGGATACCAGATCAACTATTAAGCAGGGAAATGTCAAGAGTGATTGGAAGAGGGCTTTCTGCTTCCATCTGTCTGCCTCTTCAGCTCCAGTGCTTAATTCTTTATGATGTTTTTCTGTGAACACCAAATAATGGCAGGAATGGCAATGTGATTCCCAAATGGTGGCATAACAAGGGGATTATGCAGTACTCGTTGGTTTTTTTGCCTCTCACAAATATTGAAGTATTTGACCACCAGAGACCTTGCAGTGAAGGATACAAAGCCTTCCAAAGGGATTTGAATGTATTTGTTAACAAGAAATGTGCAAACCTGACTTTTTTTTTTCCCCTCTGTAACTGCATTCCTGTTCCTACGTCAAGGAACAGATGACACATTTTTTTATAAAATATTAAGAAAGGACAAACCATCTGATGAAAGCAATAAAAAGGAAGCCTTTGCTTCCATGGCCCAAATGCTTAGAGCCATCCACTGTCAACTGGTTTGCTGGAGTTCCAGCCCTACCCAGTATTTGACCTTGAATTTATTGCTTGCTATAGCAGTATGAGAACAAAAATACACAAATGACATAATACTGCTAGGAAGGAACCAACTAATGAGATTAACCTTGCTTAGAACATCTTTGACTCTTTAAAATTTTTTTTTTTTTAAAGTGCTGAGATATTTTGGCCCTGAAGAAAAATGGGAGCTCTACAGACAGCACCTTCTCTATGTTTTCTTCGTGTCGGTCCAGCACCTTCCCTCTCCCCTCTTTGAGTGTGTGGTATCCCTGACCAGGGACCTGGGACCTGCTCCTGTTCTCAGCCAGCCAGGCAGCAGCTCTGCCCTCATCACTGTGATGGATTTGTTTAGTGCCAGCAAAACAATGCAATTCTACCTATTTATTTTGCTTTCTGGCACGCTGAGACCCAGTGTTTCTGGGGAATGTAATGGCTGCAGCAGAGTGTCTCAGCAGTATTATCCCTGCCAGTTGCTGCTGCAGTATTTGTCTATGTGTTTAAACCAAATCTTCTCATGGGCTTTTCTGATTTGTGTGGAGTGTGTCTGTATGTGTTCAAATTCTGGAATATGACATCCAGTTCATATGCTATCCACGTTTCAGGATCTTTTAACTGCTTTGCAAAAGGGAAGCAAAATTGGCTTTGTTTCCACATTCTCTTTACAGCTAAATTCAGCAAAAATGTATGAGGGCAGGAGGAGGAAAGACTAAGCACCAGCCACCTCAATTTAGACGTACTGGCAAAAAAGCCCTGAATTCTATTAGGAACTAACATATGCTCCAACTTGCTTTCCATTGCACCTCTTTCTCTTAATCATCTCTTCCTTCTCTTCCCAGAGAGAGCCTCTGTGCTTTATCTCCTCATGCTTTTTCCCTGACTTGTTCTGTCCATATGTGGACAGTGCACCTTGCACAGAAACCAGCATTAAGGAACGACATCTTTATGCTACCATCTGGGAAGCTTGGCACTCGGAAGTAAAGGCAGTGGCATCAAGCAGCAGTTATATTTGGCCCTTGTGCAGCACTGGATTTTGAATTGTTTGTGTAGAGGTAGGGAAGCACAATGTCTGCTTTCCAGACCTGGAAAAGGGGAGGCACAGGAAATTAAACAGCACAGTGAGTCGTGACAGACGGAGGATCCAAGGTCTTCTGGCTTCTGTTTCTGTGCTGTAATTACAGCATCCTTTCCCAAGTTGGGGGCAACGTGGTGAGTTTTCAGAACATTTTATTTCCAGTGTGACAAAGCTCTAGTATGCCACATCCACTGAAATTTAGCTGAAGGTAAGCAGCCCTGAGACTACATCCAGAAACAGGCATATAAAAGTAATTTGAGGGTGGTGTGAAATGATACTTTGATAGAGTGCCAGGCTATGGGAGGAGAAGTCATGTAGCCAAGACTGACAAATGTAATCAGGATTCAGTGGCTCAGCTGTTACAAGACCAGATTTGGAGGACTTCTGCAGGTTGGTGAGCTCTAGAGAATTAAGCCTTTTCTAATGAACTGGAGTAGCACAAAGCAGGCAAGCCATGGCTGAGGCTGTCTGGCGTGGAATTAAATATTTATTTTTCATAATGGAAAATTTCATTTGAAG